TGTTGTGAGGGCACTTGACAGCTGAAAAAGTTTTTATCGCTTTTCACTGACATGAAATTAAAGGAAAACTGTATTTGTAATCCTAAAAAGAATCCATGTTGGTAATGCATGGACTTCATTGGAAAACACATACTCAGCAGTTAAGTGGTGGCATTTGCCTTTACAGATTACCAAGATGGAGATACCCTTCAAACAGATAATGAAATGCTACAAGTCACAGCCACGTGCCAACAAAAGTGTAAGTTTCTTTTATTTTGGTTTTTATTTTTTGCTGTCTTTAGTGTACAGCTGTGAATTAACAAAATATAGCGATACAGGTTGAAACGTGTATCAGCTGGGCCCACTTATTCCAAGATTCCATCAGTTTTAGCGACATTCTGTTTTGTGTTTATCATCAAATGTTTTAATGTTAACATGTACATTTTTTAAATAACTGTGACAATATCATTATACCTGCTTTACATGAGCATTTCAGTCTTGCAAGGAGGTTAGCAGGTTGACAGTAACAACTCAAAGCACTTGTTTCAGCATTTACCGTTTCTATCTGCAGGTCTGCAAAAACGTGCTGATTTCAGAAAGGATGGAGGAAAATTCTACCATTAAAAAAATCAGTAAGAAAGCTTTTAAATAAAAAAGTCATATATTTTAAATATTATGGAACACCTGTTTTAAAAAACACACTTACAAAATAGCCTTGTAATTACAGTAATGTACATAATGCGTCCCAATAAGTATTGAAAATGGGACTACACATTGCCCTCACTGCCATCGTAGCTTTATATGTGTAATGCATGCTCACATGCTTGCAATCCACTGTGGGCAAAGAAATGCGCATGTATTGTTAGCTGGCTATGTGGCTCGGAAACAGTGGCACTGGTGGTGGTAGAGTTAAAGAAAACGAATGCAGCATGTGTTGTGTTAGATCCAAATAAAGTACTATACAGAGGTAGAACTCATAGCAATGCCTCATTGCACAAGAAAAATGACACCCATCAAGTTACCAAATGATTCACTTACAACATTTTACCTGCATTATATCCATTATCCCAGAGTAATTCCACAGTGATAAGTAACTTTTTATTATATTGTTGATTATAGATACCGGAAAGCACAGCAGCACTATCCTAACCCCCAACACACCATCAACACATTATCCAAGACCTGGGCAGGAGGAACGGGGCAATCTCATCCATTTTTACAACCAGGTCTACACGACAAAGATGCAGCATTTTGCCAAACAGTTTGCTCAAACCTCATTAGTAAGTGAACATTTTTTCTTTTTTCTGAGCTGACGTCACAAAACTAAGAACTCAGTAAAAATGGGAAATGTTTATTTTCCATGTAATGCTTACACTTCATTTCTTGTCCAGCGAGACACCCCTCCTTTGTCTCCATACCCTCGACAGTGGAAAGCATCTCCTCGCTGTTATCAGCTGTCCAACAGCCCGTCCATCTCCATTTCACCATACAACACAGAAACCCCTTCCCCTCACAGAACTGGGCTCTGCTACTACTTCAACTCAAGTCCTCCAGAGGTGTGTGGATATAGTGTTTTTGTTTTCACATGATCGTCTTAAAAAATTTTGTGTGTTGGGGTACAATCTAGGCTGAATACATTTTACATTCCTATTTTGGAAATGATTTAGTGAATACAAATGGTTGACTTTGCTCGCACACAGTAGAATATTATTTTCCTTTTGTTCACAGCTTCTGCGTGAGATCAACAACATGATCAAAACGGGCAGGTCACCAAACATGCGATGCTACGCGGTATCACTGGATAGAGATGAGGAAGGAGATGGATCCTCAGCCAAGAGGCTTCGTTTGGATGGGCAGTCAGCCTGGCAGAGACGACTGAGAAATGTGTTCAATGATCGCATTACAAGAATGAACCAGGACCAGGTCTAGCTTATTCCAGCTAACAGGCCTAACCTCCACTCCGATGGAAGTAAAGCACACATTTACTTCTTGACAAATTCTCTGTCAGCTCAAAGGACTAAATTTCCGTTGCTTGGCTCTTTTGTTTGGAACCATTTTTTTCTGATACCATAAGTCATGTGTGAAGGTCTGTGAATAAGCCACTTTATCCCCAGCACAGTAATAGAAGACTGGTCATCCTGGGTTGCTGCCTGATGGAAGTGTCCTTCATGATATTGTATGAATTTAAAGAAAGACAAGGCTGCAAAGTGCCCAGTGAGTTTTTCTTAGATAAAAAAAAGGACTGAGACAGGACTTTAGCAACTAAAAGGCAGATTAGTTAGTGTTTGTCTGCATCCACAGGAATTAATATTTACAGTAATATGAAAACATAAATGTATCCACAAATGCATCCAATAGACATTTGGGCAAAAAGTTTTTTTTCTGCACAAATTTAACAATTCTGTTTAAAAAAGTGTAACTTAGGCCTCTGAAGCTAATATAACAAAACAAAATTTTGATTTAGTCATGTTTGCATAATTAGAACATTTATATAATTATAGTTCGTTATCTTAATGACTTAAATCTCACATAATAATAATAACATGGTACCTTTACATGTATGCAAAATGTTTTATTTATTTTAAATGTTTCAATGAACATTTTAAACTCAATTTTTGGTGGATTTTCCAGCATGCTCATCACTGTCCTGTTGAAAGATTTCAACTCAAGGTTATCTTAAAGCATATTTTAAATTTCATTCTCACTTCATAGTTGTATGACTGCAAATTGCCAGGTCCCAGAGGCAGCAAAGCATTCCCATAACCATAATATATCCACACACGTACTGTTATCATGGCTATGTTAGATGTGCCTTAGTAGCCTTGGTCTTTGCCTTTATGTTAACTATAAAAATACAGCTTTGCTGTTTTGGGCATTCCTGTTATGCAGGTCAAGTTTTTGCACTGTTTACAACACAAAGAGTTCACCGCAGATCCTCTGATGAAAGCTTGGGGTCTTTGGAGACTTGCATAATTTGCTGAGACAACCCATTATGGACAATTTGGCAGCTATTTATTTTTTTAAATTTAGCTACAAGATTTTTTTTAGATGATTTGCAGAATTATTGATTTAAATTAACTGGGGAACACCAAACCCTGGATGTCTGAGGTTAAAATAAGACTTATTACTCTCTAAGAAGAGTCTAATAACTGACACCATATTTGAAGGCCCTGTGTGATTAATTTGAGGATGTACTCATTTGTTCTCACTAGACTGATCTGTTTTTTATGTTTGACTTACTTTTGGAATTTTGAGTGTACATACTAACATTAACTCCAGTCTATGACTTGCATGAATACTGAAGTTTGAAGTGATTTGATTCTGACTGCATATTGGTGATACTAGGGGTTTGATGCATACCACTCTAAATTAATTTAAAGTTGTTTTTACATTCAACTTATCGCAAAACTATTGAGGATAAACTAAAGTAAGACTTTTGCAAAAATAATAAATGAAAAGTGCTGTTACAGTAGCAGAAACTTGCACTGGTCAACATAAATGTAGAAGCTAAAACAAATTCAGTCTCAATAAATCTTTAAAAATCCAGTCAGCAGTTTTAGCCACCGTTTATTACAGACTGAGTATCACAGCTGATTCAACAGGACATCAATCAAAAACTGCATGGTGATTTTATTAAAGCTCTTTTCCAAACAGAAAAGTGTTTTGCTTTTGAGATTTATTGCGCAGAATGATACATGTGTCAGTTGACAGAAGTTGGCTTTATTATCATCTGCTGATGCAACAAAGTTTCTTTAAATCTGAGTTTAACAATAAGTAGGTATTACCGAGCTTTTGAAGACACGTGACCACTAACCACAAGATTTTAACTTGATGACAATTAATAATGTGGGATCAAGTGAACCCCTCAGCAAACAACCCATCATGAAGGGGGGAAATGAGCAGTCCTCAGTTGATTGCAAATGGTTGGAGGTTAGTGGCAGTCGCTGGGAAAATGATTGCTAATATCCCAGTCATGCAGGCCTACAGATTAGTCAGTGACATCCTGTCAACTACCTGTTGCTAGGAAAAATGTCTATTTCCCAACCAGTTCAGTGCAGCGCCTTCTTTGCAACCAATTTCACCCAGTGAGGACCAGAAACCTCCAAGAAACACTGCCAACCAGTGCAACATCATGTAAAAAAACTAGGGTTTGGCAATGGAACAGATGCCTTTCTATTTATATAGAATTTTTCAAATTTCAGTTCAGCCGCAGTTCTGTTTGTGGAGATTTTTATTTTGCTAATTTAATCTGCGTCCTTGAAAAATTTAATTGGTAACTAATTTGTGCTATTCCTGAATAGCACCACAATATACTGCCTCTTTCCTTTTTGTTATGTTGTGTTACATCGAGAGTTAACGTGCGATTTCAAAGGTGGGGTAACCCTCAGCTGTAGCACTTCAGCGACGGAATAACTTAGAAATACGTAACGTAAGAATTCCTGTGGTTAGCTCCAGTAGAGTTTACTGTGTCCAGAATAGGACCAGTTGCTTACTGGTCTTTGTGGATTTAGGCAGTTAAATATAGAAAGATATGAGCAAACCCCTAGACACAATAAAGCTAGTATATAAGGTCAAATTTAGTGAATGAATCTAAACAGCATCATCCCCTTAAATTTAATTTAATGTCGGCCACCCTTGACATTCTTAACTTCCCAGTGACCGTGCACACCACAGCCTGCTCTGCACCATCCAGCATATCACAATACTGTAAACTTTACAACAATGCAAATTAACCACTTTAACCTGTAAATTAAACCAATTTTCAAAGAGTTTGAAAGACACTTCACAAAAAGATAATTCAGAAACATGTCATGTATAGATCCAATATCTAAAAAAAAAAGATTTTTTTTTAAATTCTAACGTTTCTGATCACAAGTTGTTGACTTTTACACCTGTTTCTTTCTGCTCTATAAAGTTTGATGTAAATTGGATTTTGTGAAATGACAATGGCTAAAACTCCTCCAAGGGAATCAAAACACAAATTTTTCCACTGTGGAAAAGTCAGTAACCATAGCTACTCTGTGATTGACACACAGCCCACTTCAGTGTTTATCAGTAACCATGTTTTGCTTCAGAGTTAATTCTCAACCACTGTCGCTTAGGGATGTATTTGCAAAAAGGCAATGTGATACAACAGACAAAGGACTGTAAAATAAACCAACAAAGTTAACACAACAGGAAGTCATATAGTTGCCATGGAGAACAAATGCACCTGAGCCCACAACACACAAGTTTTAAGGTGACGACCAGGATTTTGACACTTCATACTCCTGTGGACAACCATCAGCTGAACGACACGCTGCACACTCTCAAATTTTGAAAAATCATGGGCTGCAACACAAGTAGGGGGGCCACAGTGGTTGACCCTTCTGAAAAGCCAGAGGACAGGCCGAAAACTGCCACTTCCACCAAGCAGGCGCCTGCAGAGGAAACGAATGGAACAAAAGAAAAAGATGAAAAAACGAAGAGTTCCAGCTGAGCGCCACCTTTACACCGAACCTAACTCTTCTTCTTGTAAGAACATTTTTTCTTTAAATGTTATTCATAATCTGCCTTTAAGATTTTTAGTTATTACCTGACTATGTCCTTTCATTCTCCTTTTAGTTCTATCAATCAACAAGGATACAGCACCTCTCTGTAAAGTAAGCAATCTATGACCATTGCATAGGGGTCACTTTGATACAATTACCTCTGTAACTTGACCGCCGTGTCTTTCTGAAGCAGTTTGACGTGACAAATGGGCTGCATGGTGACTGAGAAGCGTTCTGTGGTGTCTGTGTTGGTGTTTGCACAGATTGGCCTGTCCGAGGGTGAAGGAGGACCTGTAAGCAGGATGAGGCGACGCTGCACTACTGTCCATCAACGTCTGTCATCTGGGCCAGGCACACATAATCAAATACGCACACTTCTCTAGAAATCCGACTCCTATTGTCAAAGTCTAGAAACTATTTTGTGATAAATATATCGTTTGGAGTATTACATTGTGTTGTCTTGAACCTCTGTTGCCTTTATGTTCTTTTTTAGGCGTCGTTTCCTGCGGCGTACCTTGCTTTGTTTTTTCACAATCATTTATTTTCATTCTCTTCTCCTCTTTACTTGCACTCACACACCTCTGGTCAGAGCTGATAGTTACAACACTCTCTTTTAAATGCTTCCAATACTGCTGTAGGCTAAAGCAGCAACTCTTTAAGACAGTCAACTTATGTGCTAGCTCTGTGTACCTTGCAGCTCTCAGCTAGATGGGATGCTCTGCATATGAGAGGGCTGCTACCGGTGTTCATTTGGACAGTCTTTATACAACAAATAACAAACTGCTGCCAAGAGCTGGATTGAGAAGACCTTCCAGAACTTTATGTTCCTTGCCACCAGGGGGCATAGACACAGGGGAAACAGTTCCCTTTGCCGCCACCAGGGAGCAGGAGCGATCTTCCCCCGCTGCTGTGAGACGTCTGAGGCTGGTTCCATTTGCTGAAGACATTTAATCTGAAATATAGGTTGTAAGTTTATTACCAGTGAATGGAGCTGGAATGGAATAGCCATTTTACAAAGCCATATCAAAAATACCCATCTCAGAGGCAGTGGGAAATTACATGAAAATATTACCATTATACAAATGGAAAGTGTGATTGAATAATGCGCCGGAGAAGATAAATGAAAAGCACTTTGTTGGAAAACGTGGTACTAAATAGGTTTTTAATTTCAGTAGTGGGATAAAAGAAGCGCATTTTTACCCCATTTCACTGCCAATTGATTAGTGGCTCCACACCTGCAGATAAAGAGGGGGCCTTATCGTCTCATTATCAGTTAATTAATATGCATGCACACATGCCAATTATCTTTCCTCTGCCATTTAGCAGAAATGAGACATTGATGTTTTAATGGTGCCGGAATGGATAACTCCTCTGTTGCTTTAAAGACAAGGCAGGCACATTGATTGACATAGCTGGGAAATGTTAAGAGAGACAATTGAATTAAGAGCAACCTGAAACGCTTGATTATTATATTAATACTTCTCAACAGCCATTTGCTGTTGCTTTCCAGGGGCTGTGAGATCAAGCAGAGTTTTTGATTAACTCTCTTGTGAAAGATACAAAGAGGGCAAAGCTTATGGTGCAGTCTATGTATATATATCTACCAATGAGAATCCATTATGGAAATATTTTATTTGAAGGACATGCAGAATAGCAAGCCATTACATTTTTCCACTATGCCATGACTGTAAAAAAGCTCAAGGCCACACCAAGTGAAGCAAACCCAAGATGAAAGTTATATTAATCATTACTCGGTTTAGTATACTATGTGCACTGAATTTATGTTCATGAGTCACAGGCCAGTGTTATGTGCTGGAGAAATAGGCAATATTATGGAAGGAAGCACTATTGACATTTTTCATTTCTGCATAAATGCTTGTGGTTGCACACTGTGCCCAAGGCTGTTAGCTTTTTTTTAATCAGTGCTCTTTAAGCTCAATGCCACAATGCTAGGATGTTGGAGGTATTGCGATCAGAAAAAATAGAGCTAGAGAGACTGCAAAGTCTTTCAGTTAAATCCAAATCTAGGATCTGTGATTTTTACACACATAAAAAAATCACAGAGGACAAACTCATGCCACTGGAGGCAGCTGCTCACACAACTGTGCCAAACGAGAGGGCGAGTTACAAAAAGTATTTGGTTTGTAAGCGCCTTACTCAGTAATAGACCATTTATATGATATATATAATACCCTGCCACAAATATTCACAAGTAGTGGTGTTATTTTCAGCCAGCCTCTCTTTAAAGATGTGTTCTTCACAGGGTATCTTTTGTGAATATATGATCAGAGGCACGACAGCCCTGGTCTTTAATCTTACACTGGCCTTGAAGAATGTCACTGATTCCAACCAGCCTGCACCCTCCTCCTCCTCCTCCTCCACCCTCACAACTGCAGGCTACAGAGACCATCCTATTCACAGTGTGGTGCAAGAACATGTTTCTGGTTGTTTAGAGGGCTATGGCTTTCTTTATTTTGTGTTTTCAAAAAGAAGAGAAAAAAACATTGTTAAGAACTTGTCACTACCATCTGATCCCAGAGGCCTTTGGAGTGCTGGTTCGTAAACAGCTGATTGTATAAAAATAGCTAAGACTTTCTCAATGAGCAACCCACTTTGACTTCATATCAGAAATATAACACGTTTTTGGTTTAATCTATATTTGAAGACGTAATATAGACCCCCAACACTGGTACATTTGGCATACACAAAAAAACCAAAACAATAATTTTTCTCCAAGTATAATAAAGCTAGAAGTCTCCGGGTCTGACATCTATCTGTTCGTGTGTCCCAAATTGCTCCGCTTGATAATGCCCACAGAAACAAGTGTGAAGAGAAAAAGCTGCAACCATGAATTGTAAAAGTTTGGGAACTAAAACTAAAGTTGGGAAAACGCTCAGAAACAATGCCAACATAGTTTTTGAATCAATCAACTGCATTTCAAGGCATTAAACGTGGCGGTAGATGAATTTATACATTTAGGATGTCAGAGTGCCTCATTATGTGATACCAGACGTAAACAAGGATGTTTAAATCAGGAATCTTAAAGAAGTGCTTTTGTTGTTTGTTTTTGTTTTTTACTGTGCTTGAATCTTTGGTTCAACACATCTAAACGAGGTAGTGCATATTATCATATCAAAGCACAAGTCCTCTCAGGTTCTTTAGCCAATATATCACTGTGTTGGTTATATCAAACTATGACATCTCTTACAGATGAGGCAAATATTACTATTACACTTCCACTTAAATACAAAAAACCAAAAACTATTTTCTCTCAAATATGTTTAAACTAGTAAAGGTGACTCATAAACTATTCTCCAAACCTCTTATAAAGGAGAAAAATTGAACATTGGAGTCCAATTTTGGGGAAGATGGCTTCCTAACTCATTTGATGTTTGCTGGTGATAGTTCAATATTCACAGACACGGACACCTCTTTTGGAATCACTATGAACTCATGCATACTCATACAGGCTAAAGTCCAATTCACTTCTATTCTATTCAGTTTTATTTATGCAGTGTCAAATCACAACAACCATCATCTCAAGGCTCAGGTTCACAAATTTAAGTACTTGGGATCACGGGCCGATACCCGTGATCCCAAGCTCCCGTGGTGCAAAAGACCAGCCTAACAGAAGTTGCAAAAGTCGGCGTTAAAGACAACGTGAGAAACCACATTAAGGAAGATATCAAGGAAGCTTGCACCATAGCTACCGATTGCAGGTATTAGAAGCAGATCATAAATGAGGTCCTGAGTCCATCGGCTCTAAAGGACAAAAGAAGAAGAGTTGTTGAGAAACATGTTATTTTATAGAGAAATAATGTGGTTTTAAACCCAAATGTTTGGTAGCAAACCCCCATTCTATCGGTTTTCAAACCTTTTGTGGCAAATGCACACCAAGGATGCAAGTAAATATTTCAAGGTACATAAATGCACACAAAATCGCATGTATGTCATCTGACACTCATGAGTTGGTGGTGCTTGTTTAAAGGATGCAAAAGTGGGCTGTCAAACATGCCATTGTCTCACAACACAAACATTATCACACCTGCAAATTTTAATTCCTGTAACAGCTCCATTTGGATATGGACTTGCTTCCATCACCTTATATTTTTAAAAACATTTTTGTTGTTTTTTAATGGGGAAATGAGTATATTTGAAGAGCTGACACATTAAATTAACAGTTCATTTACAACATTTTCTGCAGTTGTTTTTTTTTTTTTAAATACTAAGATATGGTTGTCTCAAATTCCATGGCACCCTTCTGCTCAGCGAAGAGCACACTATTTAGAAACAAAGTGGAACTAAATTGGAATTCCACAACAAACAGCTTCAGAAAAGTCCAACATTTTCTTCTCATCCATTTTTGTTTTCTTTTCGCTGCAGGTTTTGGGTCCTGCAAGAGCAACTAGACTTTGAATTTGGGCTCTCCTTCTGTCTTCTTTCATTAAATCTACTTTATGTGACAAATGATGCAAAACCTGGTAAAGTATTATGTCATGATCTTGGAGGTCAGTCTTCATCCATTTTGCTAATTTTCTTTCACAGGAATTAAGAGGAGCCAGGTGCTGTTACTCAAATGCACGTAATTAACTGATCATCAGTAAGTGTGACCACCTCTATATCAGACGTTTTGGCAGTTTGTAGGTCTGGAGCAGTCAGGGGGGTTTTAACACAATGCCAAGGAGGACGGACATCAGTAATGATCTTTAAAAAGCAACTGTTGCTCCCCACCAATCTGGGAAGTGTTGTAAGGCCATTTCCAAACTATTTAAAGTTCATTATTTTACTGTGCGAAAGATTATTCACGAGCGGAAACCATTCGGCACAGCCAGTCTTCCCAGGAGTGGACTTCCCAGTGAATTTAACCCAAGGTTGCAATGGTCAAAGAAACTACAAAAACCTAGCATGCTAGTATGTTAAATATCACTGTTAATGATAGTATAATTAGAAAAAGACTGAACATGTATGGCCTGTTTAGAATGGTTGCCAGGAGAAAAAAATAAAATGATTGCATCTGAACAAAACTTAAGACCTTTAAAACAACAGCCTTTGGACAGACGAGACCAAAGTGGAAATATCTGGTGAAATCCAAACATACCATATCAACACAAAGCCTTCATACCAACTCTCAAGCACAGTGGTGGAGAGGGTAATGATTTGAGCTTATTTTGCTGCAATGACTGCAAGGACCTGGGCACCTTGCAGTCATTGAGTCGACCATGAACTCTTCTGTACACCAGAGCACTGTAGAGTCAAATGTCAGGCCATCTGTCCAACGGCTAAAGATTGGTCAACTTTGGGTCATGCAACAGGACAGAGATTCCAAGCACAGTAGCAAATCGACAACAGAATGACTAAATGCTGTATTTGACCTCAACAGAGCTGTGCCTAAATAAATCCCTGCAAACCTCAATTGAATTCACCCACAACAGTGTAA